CCTTTCCCAATCCTTGTTTCTTTACCAACAACTCCCGCCCCGCCCCCAGGCTGAGGGCGCGGCCACACGCCATACAAGAGATAAGCGCACCGGCAATTAAATTGCGTTATTTCATTTTTCGGACTAAATTCGTTAGCGGCAGTCTGTACGAAGTTTCGTTGCCGTTTCCATGCAGCACAATAACCGCTTGACGACCGCCCGTCGGACAGCAGACTCGCATTTGCTTCATCAGCTTCTTTTGGGGGTCCCCCGGGTGACATTAGGGGTCTTAGAGACCCCTAATGTCTCCATAATAAAAAAAAAAAAACTAAAATGTTTAAGTCCCCCCACCCCCACGTTTACGCACATATAAACGTAAAAAATGCGTCAGATGTGCCAGCGTGCGAAAACGACAATTGCGCCATACATGTTACATATCGCCGCAAGCGTCGGAGCGTGACCAATAATTCTGGGGCCGTCAATCACTGACGACGCTAAACCGATGAGCCGTAAAAGCTTTTAAAGCGTCATCTATGGCCAGTTTTGGGTAATGTACTGTTTTGAGATTTTGCACGCGTGCGCCATTTTAAGGCTTGACATGTTTCTTGTCTTTTTACCCGACGTGACCCCGACTTTTATATTTTACCAAAAAAATTGAGTAATAATAAATGTTTTAGAATTTAATATAGGGTGAAACAGTTGTTTTTAAAGAATTTCTGTAATTTTTCCTTAAAGGAGAACTATGAGGGGGGGGAGCGCTTTTCACTCACCTCATAGTCCTAGCCGACCTGTGACAATGAGACTGTCACAGGTCGGCTCAGTAGATCGGGAGGTGAGGGAACACATACCGGTGTTCGCTCACCTCTCGATCCTGTCACGGCTCTCTGCCATGACAGGGGAGCGACTGGATTCCCCCCTCCCCGATAGCGCTGGCTGGCGGAACGGACGGGGGAGGGGGCGGGTACAGCTGGCTCTGCCTCTAGATAGGCAGAGCCAGCTGTCACTCACGCAGCTGGGCGGATCCCGGCACAATTGTCGAAAGCCGGTCCGGCGTCTCAGTATACCGCGAGCAGCAGCTCCCTATATACTGAGCTTAGGGTGACGGGAGGACGCTAGTTTGTGTCCTCCCGTCACCCTAAGGAGAACTATGGGGAAAAGCCCTGACCTCATAGTTCTCCTTTAAAATAGTAAAAAATAACCCCCTCCCCCAGTGGTTATTAAATACCACCAAAATAAAGCTCTGTCCCTAAAAAAATGGTATAAAATTCATGTCAGTACAGCGCTGCGTGACGGAATAAATGTCAAAGTACCACAGCGCTGAATACTGAAAAATGGCCGGGACAGGAAGGGGTTAACATTAAAAAAAAAAAAAACACACAAAACAAAAAAAAACTGTCAATTTGCTGAAAATTTGTCCACAAAACGAAAATTCGTACAGACTACCGTTAACGAATTTTGTACGAAATGTCGTTTTCAGAAATTCGGATGCGTTTCAGTAATTTCTGTTATTCGGGAAATTCGGATACATCCGAATAACGTAAATCCGTCCGAAAAACTAATTTCTTCCCGAAAGGAAAATCGCACATTTCTAACTAAACAATCCGTGCAGTTAAACCCTGGATTAAAAATATTAACAATCACTTACAAAGCCGTCCACAACTCCGCCCCCGGATATATCTCCAACCTCGTCTCAAAGTATCACCCTAAAGGCCGTGACACACTGCAGGTGAAGCAGCGCGGAGCTGGGGGGGGCTCGCTGCCTTTGCGAGCAGTGTGTCATGTCACTTTCTGCTCGGCACCTCAGCTTGCGAGAGCTCGCGGAGCTGAGCGTGCCGAGATGAACAATTTCAACTTCAGCCAATCGGCTCACGCGTATAAACCTGTATGTATAAACGCGCGTATGTACCCCAACCTGTCTATCTCCTACTCTGGCTGCTTTTAGGCGATCCCTTAAGACTCATCTCTTCAGGGAAGCCGATCCCACCTCAACCTAACCACTCAACCATTCGTCCCCACACAGCTCCCTCCTCATGTATCACTTCTACCTCCGCTTTAGATGGTAAGCCCTCGGGGGCGGGGCCCTCCTTACCATCTTGTCTTGAATTGTATTGTGATTGTCATGTCTTCCTTATATTGTACAGCGCTGCGCACACTGTTGGCGCTCTATAAAAATAATACTACCGGCCATGGGTACAACTCTGATTTTTAGCTTCCCCGGCAGCCATTCGGCAGTAGAATGTCTAGCAATAGAGGTAACCTCTCCGGACCAATCAAAAGCAGGAAAAGTTTGTTTTCTTTTCATTGGAGTAAAGTGATAACAAAGTCAAAAAGGTTTTTAAGCTATTGGAAATGCTGATGAAATCACTTACAATGGACGCTGCTCCTTCATGTTTAATAGATTTAGTTTCCTGCAGAATCAATTGGTCCCGCGGCACTGGCCCCGATATCCTGTTTTAGGTTGGCTCCTCTCCCTTGCAGGGTCCTAAGGAGCCACCCTTGTGTGTGCTAGTAACCTGTGCGAGTCTCCACAAACACACAGCAAGGCAAGTCACTCTCCTCTAATTCTAGTAGATGGATGGCGGCTGAAGGCTGCGGTTGCGATCTTACACTGGACAGGAAGTACCAGGAAGATAAGCTGAGAGAGTTAGAGCCGTTCTTATGCATGATGACGGTAAGAGCTTGGGGACAAAATTAAAGAAATACTTTGCTGAGCGATGCTCTGTCACCGGAGGGGTGTGGCTTATAGAGTCACCCCCTCTGAGGAAGTCACCCAGTGTGGGCCGTCACCGGAGGGGTTTGGCTTATGGAGTCACCCCCTCTGAGGGTGTCACCCAGTGTGGGCCGTCACCGGAGGGGTTTGGCTTATGGAGTCACCCCCTCTGAGGGTGTCACCCAGTGTGGGCCGTCACCGGAGGGGTTTGGCTTATGGAGTCACCCCCTCTGAGGGTGTCACCCAGTGTGGGCCATCACCGGAGGGGTTTGGTTTATAGAGTCACCCCCTCTGAGGAAGTCACCGGAGGGGTTTGGCTTATGGAGTCACCCCCTCTGATGGAGTCACCCAGTGTGGGCTGCACCCTTCTTAGGACACCACTGGTGGCTTCTGATTGACAAGTGCTGTAATGGGTGGAGCTCCTGCAGTGCAATCCTGCGTTACGGGAGGGGTGTGGCTTTTGACTGACGGGTGCTGCAATGGGTGGATTAGACGCTTGCTTCCCAGCATTGCCACCCACTTCCTGTATAGCCCTGGTCACATGGGCTGCCAGGAGATCATGTGATTGTGAGGCTAGGAATGGAGGTTGCCACTAACAAACACAGACACACCTCAAGCCACCACAATGGACACCTCCGCGTTATTGGGGTGCCAGTCAAAATGAATAGCGCTGCCACACACTAACGAATGTGTAGTGCGTTACTGTGCATTGCTGCAAGTCGCACTTTTTTTTATGTGTTCCTGCAACACGCTTACATATGTTATAGTGCGGCCCTTGGGACATCGGGACTGCATTTGAGTTGATCCCCCGCTATATTACAGGGCTGGCAGGTTGCCAAGTCACTGCTGCCAGAGATACTAGAAAGGGGGAGGAGTTAAGATTTCAGCATCTCTATTGTGAATTTTGACGCTAAACTCCTCCACAACGCCTATAGCTGCAGAGGTGAGTGAGGGATCAACGTAAAGTGCTTTTCCTGCTTGTTCACAATATGGAAATACTTTGATGTACTTGGTCTGGGAACAGGATCACTTTACAAGCGACCCTGCAGCCAAAAGTGTCCCTGGCCTGCAGAGAGAAAACTAATGCAGCCGCTATACCGGATGACAGATAAGCCGCAACATATCGTATGTTTTGGGTTCAGATACATTTGATACACAAAATTATATATATATATATATACACACACACACACACACACACTTGTTTTTTTAAGCAAACCAGACGAACAGAGTATGACAGCAAACACATAAATCTGTCCGAATTCCGCACACACGGATCTCACCAGAGCTCGCTGTGCCGTGACAATCGTTCAGTTCAGCCAGAAGTTGGTTGAAGTCATCTTGGTGGGCGATCCAGTTATCCTGAAATAGAAAACATCATCCTGAGCAAAGGGATCCGAATCCAACAGCATTTCAAGAGACAACGTCACCCGAGAGATGCAGGATTCCCCCCCCACCTCCGCCTTCACCTGCGCACCTCCTTCGCCCCACACTCCCCTCACCTGGGCTCCTTCGCCCCACACTCCCCTCACCTGGGCTCCTTCGCCCCACACTCCCCTCACCTGGGCTCCTTCGCCCCACACTCCCCTCACTTGAGTGACATCACTCCCTCAAATCATCTAACAATACTGGGGCCTAACAAAGTGACCCCAAACACTATCATAGTGGAGAACGCAGGCAAGGCGAGTATAAGAGGTTGGAAGGCCTTTGGAGAGACAATTTCACTTTGCACTGCATGGGCAAGGGAACAATCTAAAAAAATAAGGTTAAAGGGGACCAGGGATGCCGTGCACTGAAAAAAAAAAAAATCAAGCAGAGGACAAAGGCAATATTCCAGAGGGAGTACTGTCTGTGGATTCCCTGCAGCTGATCTTTTCCCGTATTATTGGCTAATCATTGTAGACCACAAACTGAATGGTAGCTTGCAGTGCCAAGCTGCGGTAAACAATGTATTGCAGGGACAAGTCTATAATTGGGCCTCTATATAGATCGTTGGTTCGGCCACATCTGCGGTCCAGTTTTGGTCACCGGTACTGAGAAGGGATGTCCTTGAACTGGAGAGAGTCCAGCGGAGGGCAACAAAACTAATTAGGGGAATGGAGGACCAGAGCTACGAGACGAGGAGGGGGAGGGGCTGGAGGACCAGAGCTATGAGACGAGGAGGAGGGGCTGGAGGACCAGAGCTATGAGACGAGGCTTCTGACCTTAAACATGTTTACACTGGCAATTAAGGAGATTAAGGGGGGATATGATTCTCATGTACAAGATGTTCAATGGTGACGGCAACATTGGCAACAAACTGTTTGAGAGTAACTCCGTTACAAAAACTAGAGGCCACCACCTAAAGTTGGTGGAGAACAAATTCCAGCACAAGGGGCGAAGAGGGTTCTTTACAGTCAGAGCGGTCTGGAACTCACTGCCATCGGCCGTCATCTCAGCCAAGAGTGTGGAATTGTTCAAGAAACGTTTGGACAATTTGTTGAGGGACCGTAATATCCGGGGGAACCAGTATCCCTAAGAATACGGGTGAATATGGGTTGGACTTGATGGACGTATGTCTTTATTCAACCCCAAATACTATGTAACTATCTTGGTAGAGGCGGGGCTTTGCTTGCTCATGGTCAGAGCCAACCCCCTGACTGATGACTGGTGATCTGATGAGTGGCAGAGTAATGAGAAGCAGCATCAGGATAGGTGGAGGAAGCACAGATCCACAGAATGGATGAAGCAGAGAGATGCTTGCCATGCAGGTCATCAGGTACAGCTTCCCCTCCAGAAAGGAGAACCGTGATCAGCACAGAAGTGACATCACCAAATCTCTCTCCAAATCCGGTGAGACCAAAACTCAGAGTCAGCAGCGCCTTAGATGATCTCCCACTGCAGATATACAGGTGAAACTCGAATAATTAGAATATCGTGCAAAGTTCATATATTTCACTAATGCAACTTAAAAGGTGAAACTAATATATGAGAGAGACTCATTACATGCAAAGCAAGATAACTCAAGCCGTGATTTGTCATCATTGTGATGATTATGGCTTACAGCTCATGAAAACCCCAAGAACCCCAAATCCGCAACCTCAAAAATCAATATGCAATCAATAAAACACGGATTGTACATAGAACAATATCGGACCTCTGACAAGTACAAGCATGCATATGTACTCAGTACTTGGTTTGGGCCCCTTTTGCAGCAATTACTGCCATTACTTTTGCACGATATTCTAATTATTCGAGTTTCACCTGTAGAGCTATGAGGATAAATAGCAGTGTCTGGGCACAGAAGTGTGCTGGACCCAGTTTCCAGGTTCATAAGTGAAGTCTTTATTTAGGCCCAAATCTCCCGAGTTCGGCAGATCTCCACAAAGCAAAGGTTTCCCCAATAAAAGGGTTACCCAGCGAGTATTTAAATCAAAATGATTGTCAAACATGCACTTCGAGGGTCCAAAACTGTACTTTAGTATTCCGCGTGTCAAAAAGGCAGAGAAAGACAACGCATTTCAGGGGCCAAATGATCTCGCTTCATCAGGGCTATGGAAAGGATACAACATCCCCCATGAGTGCCTCATCTAGTCCTCTAGTCAGTTTCTGTAATTGCTATTAAACAAATGGGCCGACAATCCCTGTTTTGAACACAGGGGGTGACAGGTACTCGTTATAAAAGCATATGGGGTATAGTAGATCGCAGATGCCTCCTCAACTTCCTACAACCAGTGCAGATCAGGGACGCGGTGTCCTCAGGATGCTACTGAGAGGATTTCAAAGCTCTGAACCTGGAAATACTCAGAGCTGACGGCTTCCGGGTTCATTCAGCCGAGAGGCATTCCTGATACCCCTGCACTGGTCCCGGGCTCATAGAGAAGACCGGTGAGCTGAGACCACTGAGGAGTACTGGGAGCGGACTGCACACTGTTCTTTGGGTGGCCATCAATGGTATCTGGGTAGTGTCCTGCTCAGAGACCATTGGGGAGGATTTGTAGCATGCTCTGCAGCGCTCTCCCTATAGGGTCTTTGTTGGGTGGCCATCAATGGTATCTGGTAGAGTGTCCTGCTCAGAGACCACTAGGAAGGACAGGGAGACCACTAGGAAGGACATACTATGCAGCGTTCTCCCTGTAGGGTCTTTGTTAGGTGGCCATCAATGGTATCTGGGTAGTGCCCTGCTCAGAGAGCACTAGGAAGGTCAGGGGTCATACTATGCAGAGTTCTCCCTGTAGGGTCTTTGTTGGGTGGCCATCAGTGGTATCTGGGTAGAGTGTCCTGCTCAGAGACCACTAGGAAGGTCACGGGTCAAGCTCTGCAATGTTCTCCCTACAAGGTCTTTGTTAGGAGGTCATCAATGTTATCTGGGTAGAGTGCCCTGCTCAGGAAGGACTGGGCGGGGTGGCTCTGCAGTGTCCTCCCTATAGGACTGTTTGGTCGATGGCCAAAGGTATGGGGGTAGAGTGCTCAGCAAATACCCCTGAGGGACAGCACTGTTGTTGTTGGACACAAATGCTTCCGTTTGGCACAGTGGACACCCCCCCTTTCTTCAGTACCTCATGGTGGATGGACGCTCCAAGGCCCATAGTGTTGTTCTTCACTTGAACTTTTACATGTTCCGTGCACCCCTGTTCCTGAGCCCCGAGACCCTGAAACAAAACATCGGCATTGGCTTAGAACAGAAGAACATCACACAAGACGACAACAGCTGCACTCCAAAAACAATCCCGACTTCCCAAACTGCTGAGGTGCCGCTAGACGACGGTACAGTCACTGCTCGTACGAGTAATCCCCAAATATAGCTGGTTCTGCCAGAGAGTGACCACCCGTGTCTGCAGTTCCCTATGGTTGTCACCACCTGTCCTCCTGAGACATGCCTGCTCAGTGTACCTAGCCATTTATACAACACGTTGGGAATATCGAATAGCTATTCGTCCAGAAAACCTGCCGGTACGATAGTTCTGTTCCAGTAGACCAGCTGCTGTGAGAATGGTGAAAAGAACGTTCTGGAGGGTGACTAGGGAAGATGCTGCATTATGGCCACTGGGTGGAGCTGTTCTGTATGATTGAACCCATTGAAGAACCTTTGATTTTTGCCCCATTCTCACAGCAGCTGGTGAACTCGCACAGGACGGATGTTCCTTGGACCAGAGAGCAATGTCAATTCTTTATAAACAGAGTCCCTGGTCCGACTACAGAGGTGAGAACATCCGAGCTCTCTGATCTGCAAACTGGTTTCCGGGTCAGCGAGTCAGAAAGCGGTGAAAGCGGTGAAGCCGGCAGGTCAGCATAACAGCCAAGGAACCGGCATTAAGGGCTCAGTCCATAGGCAATCGTCGGCAAAAAATTCTGCCAGCTGTCCTAGCAACCAATGACTGCAGAGGAGGTGGACATCTGACATCATTGGTTGCTAGGACGCCAATAGTCCTAGCAACCAACGACAAGAGGGGAGGGGGGCCTGCACTGGGCTATGGCTGGCAGTGGATGCACGGTCCTCAGAGGCCGGCACATCCACTGTCAGCCAATCATAACTGAGCGCAGGTCGGTAATCACAGTCCATACCGACCCCGTGCACGGTGACACCCAACACGTGCTGTTCAATGTTCTTTTCCATACGCACCCAACACGTGTTTGCATTAGTATGTGCGTGTTGGCAGGGGATTTAAGAGAAATTTGGGGTGTTCATCACACACAAAAAAATTCACTGCTGCACCCTGTGTACGGACACAACCCATTCATTCCAAGGAGGGGGGGGG